AAATGATGATGTTGACGTGGATGTGCGGGAACACTCGGATGGATAAGATTATGAATGATGATATTCGGAAGAAGGTGCGCATGGCTCCCATTGATGACAAGATGCGGGAAGCGAGGCTCAGATGGTTCGGGCATGTACAGAGAAGGAGCCCAGATGCCCCGGTAAGGAGGTGTGAGTGTCTGGTTGTGGAGGGCACGAGAAGAGGTAGAGGGCAACCGAAGAAGTATTGGAGAGAGGTGATCAGGCAGGACATGGCAAGGTTTCAGAGTTTCGAGGACATAACACTTGATAGGAAGATGTGGAGGTCGAGTATTAAGGTTGTAGGTTAGAAGGTAGTTGAGTCTTGCCTTACTTCGTACCATTGTGAGACTAGTCTGGTAGGATTTTTGTATAAGCTAGCTAGTGGCAATGTCGTGTCTTACTATTTTGCGTTTCAGTGCTGGACCTATTTACTAGCTATCGCTTTTGCTTTGCATCTTTCTTCTGGATTTCACGCTGTTCCTATTTTTCCTATGATTTCTGTGGTGATACTGATATTGTTTCCTTTTGTCTTTTTGTCCTCTTGAGCCGAGGGTCTTTCAGAAACAGTTTCTCTACCTCTTCGGGATAGGGGTAAGATCTGCGCACACACTACCCTCCCCATACTCCACTAGTGGGATTTTACTGGGTTATTGTTGTTATTTGTTGTTGATATAGAAAAGTATTTTTTTTTCATTTTAACAAAAAAGAGTACTTTTTATTCATGATGTAGAAAACGTATTTTCTTTCATTTCAACAAAATGTAGTAAAAAAGTATTTTCTTTTCATTTTAACAAAATGATGTAGTAAAAGTATTTTCTTTCATTTCAACAAAAAGAATATTTTCTAATCATAATGTAGAAAAAGTATTTTTCTTTCAGTTCAATAAATTGAGTATTTTCTTTTCATGTTGCAGACAAAGTATTTTCTTTCATTTCAATAAAAGGAGTACTTTATTTTTATGTTGTAGAAATAGTACTTTCTTTTTTTCAACCAAAAAAAGAGTATTTTCTTTTTAGTTATGGAGCACAAATTTCAACGTTGTTTTTGTGTAAAAAAGTAAAGCAGTACATGAGTTCCTTTGGGTTTGTGTAAATTNGTGGGGGTGGGGGGGGGAGGGGAGGGAGCACAAAAAATATGGGTCTTGGGTGAAGGGGGTGAGGAAAGTAGCATAAAAAATTATTTTCCTAAAAAATATTTTTCACTCTCTAACCAAATACTTTAAAAATATTTTTCGAAAATTCTTTTCACTAACCATTTTTCTTCGTACAAAACACACCCGAAGTCTCCACTTCAGTAACTCCGTCAAAATTCTGTGTATGGAATGATGTCTTAGTTTGGCAGCGTACTAAACTGTTACTATAAAAAATTGCAACTGGCAATATTACATGCTAAACCATATTCCAAGTTGTTCCCTTCTTGTTCATTTTTGTATTTGGTTCACAAGAGCCCCTTTGAGAAATCAGATTCTGCATATGCGCTTAATTTGTCAATAACCTAAAGAGTATAAGTTTAATTTTATACACTGACAGTAACACTAAAGTAATCACAAGTAAATATATATAATAAATATTAATTAATAATATAATAAAAATAATAATTAACGCATTATAACAAGTTACAATATACAAATATATTAAATTTGTTACAGTATCACTGTATATAATTTAAAACTTTACCCAAACATAAGACTTGCTCTATCCAACAGTGTATGCAAAATTTGACGTTCTCTGATCTCTAAAATAGCCAACTTCTGCATTTATTGATTAGTGTGTCAGGCCACGAGATGCTAGTACTTTGATTTAATAAATTTCTTTTGTTTTCTTTTTTCCTTTTTTTGGTCTGTGTATTATATTATTTTTATTGTTACTCTGAGTTTTGTACTTTTCCTAACAAGGCAAGCCGCAAAGCCAGATATAGGAATTAATTAAAAGAATTACTGTACTTCTTTTTAGCGAAAAAGAAAGATATTACTATTAATCACCACAAAAAAATATAATTAAAAACAGCAAAGGAAAACAAAAGAAAACTGCTATTTGCTATACAATATAGCATTCTAATTGTATAATTCTTCTATCCATACCTCGTCTCTACTAGGATTCAAACCTTCCCATTCCGATATTTACACTCCTTTATTTGACTGCATATAGCATGGGGGAAAGGGAAACCAAAAACCTAGACAACTGGTTTGCTACAAATTTTCAAAATCGTGCAACATAATTTAAATTTTTTACGATGACATGTAATATGCAATTAGTGGTAAGATGCTTTTGATATAACAGAAACTTGATAATAGGTAGTCTTACATGGTAAAATTCTTGACCATGAAATAGAAAATCTGAAACCATTTAGTCCTTCAGATTTCATTAGTTTTATGTCTTCCTACAGAACACATCATGTAATAAAAGAGGATTATCTCCGTGAGTAATAAAAGCTTCTACTTCATTGTGTTTTTGATTGACTATTACAATTAATAAAGTTTGAAGTAATAATAGTGATACCTTGTAACGATGGTAAAAATCTACAGCTACGTCACCATTGCTATGATCAGTTATTCTTTCTGCAAACATAAAAATGATTTGTTTTAGAAAAACAACCTTCACAAAACTTGCAATCAAAACAGTAACATATTATTTTTATAATTTCAAAGAGCAAATTAAAAGAACTTTTTATATTTTCACTGTTAAGGCTTGGACAGAAAGAGAGATACCAGATTGTTTGTGTGTATAGGTATCCCAGATACTTAGGCCTCTACCATCTTCATTCGCTGCTCCTTCATACTACAAACACTACAAGAAATAAGCCTAATTGTGGAGGTTTATTTGTGGGGATCATAAGAACCCCCACTGTAAGAATTTTCTATGGCGTTTCTTTTAATTGCCGCTGTATAATTCTTTTTGTGGCGGTCTTATTGTAGAGGTTTTTTATAACCTTCACAAATTGCAGTATATTGTGAAGGTTCGTAAAATACAATTTAATACAATTTGTGGCAGTTATAACCTCCACAATTTAAGATGTCAACCAAAAATATGAACTTTGAAAAAATCTTCTATCTATATAGAATAGGAGAAGCAAATCACTGTGATGATGCCAAGTGTCACAATAAAAATTTAACAATTGTCAAATTTCGACAAAATTAGTTAAGTTGGTTAATAATTAGTTACTCTTTTTGAATTTACATTTAAAATAAATAAATATCTATATATTTTTTTAAAAACTATTAAAAAAAGATAAAAATTATATAAATATATAACTTCAATGTAGAGATATATTAAATGATAAGGCTAATTTATTTTTTGGAGATGAGAAGGTTTTTTGAATAATAATTCATATGGTCATGCTATATGCTATATGGATATAAGATAAAACTAAGGACAGACGTGTGAATCCTTCTTGGCGAACGCGCGAATCCCTTCACGTCCGCGAAGAAGAAAACCAGACACCAGCACCATCAATTGCAAATCAACCAAACTTGGTCTGAAACTACTCCGGAACACACCCGAGGCCCCCGGGACCCCGTCTAAATCATACCGACCAGTCCCAAAATATTTTTAAAGTAAGAAAATTTATATATCTATGTTCTATTAAAAAAAGTAGTATCAAAATATTAAGCCAATTGACAAGTTAATAAAAAGGTGCATTAGTAAATGTATAGTACTAAGTACTTGCTAATTTAATAAAGAATAAACAAGGAACAAATAATTTATTTGATTACTATATGATGTGTATCCTTTGATTTGGTATAGATTTTGTTATATTTCTATNTAGATTTTATTATATTTCTGCACACTATATTAAATAATAAAATAACAACTAATATCTATTAAAATAATATGATATATTAGATCATAATTTTATATAATTAATATTCTGTCAAATTATTTACGTATCGCGCGGGTTCAAACATTAATATTTTAGATAGCAAGGGTTTTAGGATACGCAGAAGTAAGACTAAATGTATGCACTTCAAGTTTAGTCAGTATGCGTAGAGCGAATTTGAGATAAAACCAGAAAGAGTTGCGGTACCAAAATTCAAACAATTTAGATATCTAGGCTCGTTATTTCAAGAGAATGAATGTAAACGACGATGTTACTCATTGAATTATAATTAAATATTAAAATAGAAAAAGTTCTATTGGATGTTATGTGATGGAAGGATGGCTATCAAAGTGAACGGTACGTTTACATAACAATTATAAGAATGACAATGTTATGTGGTAAAGAGTGTTTTATGGTCGAGAGCGTTGGACCGCTAACATTTAACATATCCAAAAGACGAGTGTTGTAGATATACAAATGCTAATATGGATGTGTGGTTATAGGAGATTAAATAAGATAAAAAATTATCATATTCGCTAGAGGTGCAAGTAACACGTATTGAGAATAAAATGAGAGGTCAGTTGAGATGGCTTGGTAATAACCTGTGTCAACCTACAAATATACCGGTCTATATGTGTGAAAGAAAAAAGTAAATTGCAAAATATATGGACATAAATTTCTTTTTTTTTCATAATATTAGGGTTTTGAATTTCAACAAATAATGTTAGTAATTATACAAATGTGTTATATTTTATCTAATCAAGGATATTTAGCAATTTGAATATTAAATGGATTATTTTAATAACTTTATTTGAATTTGTTCAATTATGTTTAAGTATGTTTTATTGTTAAATTAGTTCTATTTCCCAAATTTTCTTTTATTTAAATGGTTAAAAGGAAATATAAAAGAGAAAATAGAGAAAAGAAAAATATTAAAAAGACAATATTGGCCACCATCTTCCTTGGTTTTCAACTCCACACTAGGGGGCAATTTCGATATTAGATTGAAAATTATAGAACCGGGCAAAATGCCCTCTCTTTTTTCCCCTTGTTTCAAATGGTACAATTAGTTCCCGCTCTCACAAATCTTTTTGCAGGGCTCGATCCTCTCTTCATCTTCTCTATGGAGCCAGTGGGGCGCAATCCGAAGAACAACGGTTCATACTTTTTCATACTCTTTCTTACTTCTATATGCTCTATATCGTCTTTGCTTACTTTCCGATATAGGGTTCCTAACCAGAATTGTTTTCGATATGTTTTTGGATCTATATATTTACAAGTATTGAGTTATATTTTGTTTCAATTGTTGTGTACATTCCTTTATTTCGAGGTCCAATTGAAAATCTTACTCTTTTAAGAGTCATTGTTTTTGGGGAAATGAGTGTGTTTTTGAGAAAAAGAGTCTAAAGATTGTCTATTTGTATTAGGTGGCTTTCGACAAATCTCTTGTCTTTTATGGTTGACGGGGGTTGTCTGTAAGTAATTGGACGGATTATGTGCTTAGGATGTCGGCTACAACGCAATGCACTCTTTCTATTTTGTCTGTCTTGTTATTTTCCCCCTTTTATGGGGTTTGACGATTATATTCTTTGGATGGCTAATTTTATACACTGCAAGAAGATTCTAAGTAATTACTTTGTAAATTTTGAGAATATATTGTTCTTTAATTAGAAAAGACATCATATGAGTTCTATTGTATGTGTGCAACTACTGTATCCTTATACATCAGGGACAGCTGGAAATATGAGTACAATTACATGAACTTTAGGTGATTGTTGTAGATATTTACCCACTGAATCAAAGGGCATTCTAACGCAATGAACCGATCATCCAGGATTTGAGCTAATCGCCATGGTAAGGCACCCCTTGTGGTTTGTTTACTTCTACAAATGTATTTGGAGTTTGTTTATCAAAAGTTGTTTTAATAGTACTTTTGAGCAACTTTAACTATGAATTGATTGCTGGACCAATATTAACAAAGATTATTGGACCGATAATTGTAACAATTTTTTATAAGTTACAACACATATCTCTTGTCACTCTTATCCTGTAACAGACCAACTTCTTTCTATCCTTGTGCGCAACTATCTTTTATTTTAGAAAACAAGCTTGGCGAGTAATTACCGTCTTACATTAAGAAAAGTACTACATTAAACTTTGGCTAGCAGTTCCTTCTTTGTCTTTTCGGAACCTTATCTAATGTATCTAAACATGTCTTGTCATTATAAAAGCTATTCGATGACTAGTTAGAGTAAGTGCCACAGATCATATTAATAAGTAACTTTGTCATATCACACATGACCTGTTTGGCTCAAAGAAGTATGGTGATTCTGTATCCATTCATGTAATGGATATATTTATAGGATTTTACCCTGTGAGTTCTAGTTTAGTACTTTTCATTTGCACATTTTTGCTTTTTTTGTTTTTGCAACTTTTGCTAGTTCTAGGTTTTTGATATTGTATGCCCCACTCTTCAGTTTTGCTTTATATAGTTGAATTTAATAACAAGAAAGCATGTATTTAATTACAAGCAAACTAAACTTTTATGATTCTTATTTTATCGGTTAGCAATTTTCTTCGTTTGTACCTTACATTCAATTTAATTATAATGTCAAGGTGATGTAAATCCATCGAGGGATAAATCCTCTACCAGTGCAAAGGTTTTAGCATTGATGGGCTGTTTTTATAGCATTGAGGAGTAAGTTATGCTTCTTACCTCATTTCTTGGCTAGGCACTTTTTTCAGAGAACTTAATATTTATATAACATGCTTCTTATTATTGGAAGCTGCACCAATTGAAGAACATTTGCAGCTTTGAATATCAGTTGGATTGAAGCAAAGAAGTGGTAGCCTTGAGAACAATAAACATGGTTGGCTCAATGACAACTGCTATATGACTCAGGTAGGTATAAACTTGAGATACAACTTTAAACTCATAGCTTACATAAATTGATGATTTTAGTTATAAATTGATTGCTTATTTATTTTCTTATTCATAGGACTATTGTTTACAGAAATATCAGTACAATAATATACAGAAATAGTAAGGGTCCTTGGCATTCTTATTGTAAGAGGTGATTCTCTTGCAGTTCTTACTGGATATAGATACTAGTGGAATACATGCCTTAAAATTTTTGATTAAGTACCTCAAGAAATGAGATGAAGTAAGCTGATAGTATATAAATTCTATTTTTTCGGTTCAAGTTTTGGCACTTTCTTGTTGCTTCTTTTGCTTGAAATTAGCTCCAGAAGATTATGGGCGCTGGCTTGGTTTATTTAACTAATTATTAGTTTATATTTTATAGTTCATTACCTCTACTTCACTTTTCAGTATTGTTATTAGCTTTCAGCTGGTGCAAGTTTAACTTCTGCGAATCATTGGGCTGGATTGCAATTCATACTTTATTTATTTAACTAGAAAGCTTATAGAGGCTGACGTATACTTTAATAGTTATGTAGGTGATTTTTTTCATGAATATATGGCTAGATTTTATGCTGCCAAGTAGAAATGTTTTGGAGGTAAGTTTTATGATGATATACGAGGAAATAACTTTGTACTTTAGTTCTTATTCATGTGAGAATATTCAGTAACTTCTGTTCAATGCTATTAAACCAAGTGAGATTTATTTATAAGGAGATTTGTAGCATTCTTTTATTTATGTAACTAGATTTGTCCTTTTAACCTGTCAAAATGCTAGTTGTTTATAAGTTTTTCATCAAATGCTTTTGTTTCATTATTTCAGCATAGTGATGTGGAGATCGAGTGTGTTTCACCCATGGATGTAAGAGTATCATTAAGTGACAGCAATTCAAATCACCAAGCAAGCACTTTCTACTTTTGTATATTTATTTGTTGAGGAAACTCTAGTCTCTAGATTGTCTAGTGTTTAAGTTATCATATATGTGTTTGTATAATTTGGTTTGTAATGTTTGTTAGTATAGATATTTGTAATGGAATTTGAGTTACTAATTTAGTAAACAATTATTTATTGAATCCTAGAATTAATATTTTTAAATAGGTATTGTGGCAGTTTATAACTGCCACTGTTTAATTTTTTTTAAAAGATAGAGATCAAATTGTGGGGGTTATAAACCCCCATAAATTACTTTTTTAAGCGTTAAAGATCATATTATGGGGGTTAAGAATTGCCGCTAATTACTTTTTAAAACTGTCACAAATTAATATTTATTTTGTGACGGTCGTCAAGGAGGTTTTAAAAAAGTGCCGCAAAAATGCTTGTGGCGAACATAAATGTGGCGTTTTTTCAAACCCCCACAATTCATTTTGTGGAGGGCGAAAACTGCCACTAATCGACCAAAAAATCCCCATAAAATGAGGCTTTTTTTGTAGTGAAATAATTAATAACAAGCACTGCCATTCATTAAATTATGTTTATTAAGATCAGCTATTATTAATTAGGATTCAATTCCAAACCTGATAAGCAGATGAGGCTGTTACAAATATGAAATCCACTGGGAAACTGCTACGATTACATGGAACAGATATCTTATGACCTGGAAAATCTGCAGTTACAGTGAGCTCAATCTGAGCAAAGAAACTGAAAACTAGAACTGAGAGAAATAGCAAGAAAGATTTATGATGATCCATATAGCTAAAATAAAATTGATTAATATATTCACAAGGGCTCAAAGAATCAGCCTTTTAAACAGATCTAGATTCCGTGGTTAATTAATTCGGTTTCAAACAATAAGATAAAGGGCTATTGATAACTACTTGTCTGTCCAAAATAAGAAATGAAAACCAACTTTGTCTTGTTTCACCACTCTTCTGTGTAGAAAAACTTATCCAACTTGTCTTACTGATGACTATTGACTAAGGACTAATGACCTAATCAAAATTTTATGATTATTGTTTATGGCTGCTTGAAAGCTCATTTCTAACTTTTTATCTTAGATTAGGACATGGAAGAACATTAATATATAATGATGAATCAGAATATTCAAACATAAGCGTTGGTTTTGGGCCACCAAATGCCAAGTGCGTCTATGAGGCTTAAGAAGCAGAACGTAAATCATCACAAAGTATGGGGGAGACCAAAAAAAGGAGAGTAGATTGGCTGGTTTTTCCAGTCAAGTCAAGCACAGTTGATAATCCCATTTTCTAATATGAATTTGAATAGATTCTCCTTATTATTATAAATATAACTTTTTTATCTTCCACCTTGTCACCCTTTCCTTTCCTCTTTTTTTTTTCGTTTAAAGCATGGACCTAAGCCACAAATTAAATTCGACGCTCACATTCAAAGATGGAAAATCGAAATTGGCCCTGGGGAAGGAAAGCTATATCTCCTTTTACAACTCCTTCTCCAGAAGTCATGGAAGCTTATACATTAAATGAATGTGGAATCAAAATGGTTAATCGACAAAAAAACTTACTGAGAACTAATTCAGCCCAACCTAGCTGAAGAATCTCTCAATTTAGCCGAGCGCCAATGTCACGACCCGAACTCCCAACCGCGGGGCCTTGATGGTGCCTAACGTCCACTTGCTAGGCAAACCAACATTAGTACACAACTAATCATTTTTATACAAACATTACTAGAAAACTGTCAAAAATCGTCCAAGAAAACCGACAGAAATCGATCGGAATTAAATATAGAAAAATCGACCGATTTTAATTCGTCGAAATAATAGTGGCCGCTAAGGTATGGCGACCGAAGACGGTCACAATTTTCCGACTGAAGTCGGTCGGTTAATTCAACTTTTGGTTGACCACTTTAACTGACAATTTTTGTTGGAAAAATAAATATACCGACGGTAATATGTAAATTATTTTTTATTTATTTTTAAAATAGCAACCGATTTCGGTCGGAAATATAATTATTTGATAATTTTACATTTCTTTTTAAATTTTAACAGACCGACCGAAAACGGTCGGAATAATTTAAAAAAAAAAGTTATTTTCGATCGACTTCGGTCAGTAATTTCAAATTTCTGCAGATTGCACATTGAAATTACCAACCGAAGTCGGTCGAAAATTAAGAATTTCTGGGTTTTAATATGAGAATTCCGACCGAAATCGGTCGGCTTTCTATGTAAAAACCTGGCAGAATATGATTGCTTTTAAGCTACACCACCTGCTAATTACAACCAATAACTATCTTATAATGGCAGCATTACATTGCTGCCATTCAACCACAATTAACCAACAAAAATCATAATTAACCAACAACAACAATTAACCAACAACAACGCTAATAACAACCACAACAACAACGCTAATAACAACCACAACAACAATGCCAACCACAACAACAACGCTAATAACAACCACAACAACAATGCCAACCACAACAACAACGCTAATAACAACCACAACAACAACGCCAACCACAACAACAACGCTAATAACAACAACAACAACAACAACGCCAACCACAACAACAACGCTAATAACAACAACAACAACAACAACGCCAACTACAACAACAATATTACAAATGTTCAATAACAAAATAATATCAACAATACAATCATCATTCAAAACTATTTCAACTAAATACTCACAAGTTCAAGACTTTATTTAGCAATACACACCATTCAATGAGTATTTTGTATTGCATCATCTCTATCTTCACTACTAGAAGCTTCATCATCGACATGGTTCAAAGGATCACGATGAGAAGGATTAGCATTTGGGGAAGGCTCACGAGACCGGGGAATGGGCAAAGCACCACTAGCAAGAAGATTGGCCAGCTGACCTTGAAGGAGATTAAATTGTTGGTCCCTCTTTTCTAGCTGAACTTGAAGGGTATCAAATTGTTTATCTCTCTTTTGTTCTTTAGCCTTTGTCTCTTCAAGCTCTGCTGTCAGCTTTGGGATCTTCTTCTCCATAGACGAGAGAGTCAACCTATCAATTGCCTCGCCCTAGGTGGAAGTACTTATACCTTGCAATCCAGCCCTGTAGCGCCAAAATGATCTCTCTGAAAGGCCGCATGATATCCCCTTTTTTGGACCACCGACAACATCCAACCATATCTTCTGCGCTTCTTCGTCTGAAAGGGGTGGTCGCTCACCTTTCTCATTCGGTGGCAAGCTCTGAGTGTACTCCTCCACATTAATCTTGTAGCGACCCTTTATTTAGAAGATAGAAAATTATTAAGTATATAATATTATAAACATTAATTTCAAGTTATAGTAGTTATGAAACTTACATATGTAGTCTCCGCCCGGTCCTCGACCCATCTAGTTGGATCTATCGGTGCCTTCTTCTTCCTGATGTGAGTCTCCATGAAGAACTCATCACGAGTCATCTTTCTCCCATATGTTTTTTCCTACAAATATAATAAAACATGTTAACTAAATTAAAATATATAAATATAGTTCGATAAAAATAGAATTAAATATTTTAAGGAATTACCAGTAGTCTCCTCACAGTTCCCATGATCCTTGCATCCACACAGTGTAAGGAGCCACCCTTCTCAGATGCTCGGGCCTTCTTTCCCGGTTCACTTCTCTTCTCGAACTTCTCAGTAGTCCACTACCTCAGCAGATCCTCCCATATGTGTGGTAGAACCCATGAAGGCTTCTTGCTCTTCTTTCGAGCAGAACAGAAGGAATCGAATAGTCTCTTAGGACATTTGAACTCAAAATTTACAAGAATGGCACTGTTATGCCGGTCCTCCCAGGCACACTTAGTCTGTGAATGAAGTGTGTAATGTTAGATGAAAATATTGTTGATATAATGCTTAAATATATAAGAATTATATTAAAAACTTAAATTGGTTGAAAATTTGCTCCACGTGCTCCGGCAAAAATTCACTCCAAGTCGCATAGAGTGCATCATACAACCGGCCAAGAGCTTCAGTGATTATCTTTGTAGTCCGATGATTAGGTATGAACTTGCAACACAGCAATTACATTAAATAAACAAGACTAGCTATTATAATTCAGCAAAAATAAAGAAGTAATAAATAAATCTTACCCTAAATAAGTTTTTTTAAATTTTAATTAAAAGAAGTAATTTGAAAGTTCATATATATTCCTAAATAAATTCTATTAAAATTCAATTAAAAGAAGTAATTTGAAAGTTCACATATTCCCCTAAATAAATTATACTTTTAAAGGATTACAATCAAATTATCTTTGTTCTTAAAATAAAAATTAAAAATTAAAATATTTAACAAAATCTATCATAAGTTATAACCTTAGCATAATCTTAATCTTCTAACATAGAAATTCAAGCATAAACATAATCAATAGGAGTAAACACTAAAATTAATTAAATATTAACTAAACCCTAATTTATACAATTAACATAATTAAAATAACTTAAATTCNGAGACTTCTAGGTGCTTTGTTTTTGGGCGATGAGGGAGATAAGAGTTGATTTTGGGTGGGGATTTGGGGGAATTGCAACTGTAGGGAGGAGAAGAAGAGAGATGGAAGAGAGATAGAGAATTGTCAAGTTATCGCCGTTCAAAATGTGCGGACCGCAGTTGGAAATGTGCGGACCGCAGAAATCCTCCTGCGGCCGCAGAAAGGGGAATCTGCAGGTTTGATGGTTTGACTTCGGTAGCTTATATCTTTTAATCTATAAGGAATTTGGAGATGCTCCTAAAATAAAAGTTGTAGCCCTTTGAATCTAGTTTCCAGAAAGTTAAACCATTCATCATTTGGATCATTTGTACCAAACGTTATGGTCAATTTACTGAAACCTGGTAGTGTAGTGGCTGCTGAAGTACGGCCGCACAATTTGGATCGCGGCCACGGAACT